TAAATGGATTTTATACCCACACACATTTTGTTAAATAAACCCACAAATGTTGTATGACATAAGTGTGGGTCAACTACTTCTCAATACCTGAACTAAACGTAGAATGAAGATACACAAATTTTAGATTTGTCTTTCTTCTCCAACTGGATGGGTATGAAATGAACAAGAACCTTGGCTTGAGTTTCGAATCGAATTGATTATTGACTTCCTCATGTTGCCCTCTCAATTATTTGAATATGTTTTATATTGGATCAATACCAATGTGAAATCACTAATCCATTTTCAGGTGCTATGTGAGAGACATAATAATAAAAAGACCTTGTGTGAAATTAAGTAAAAAAGTAAATAGTTGGGGGTCAATGTGAAATCAATAATCTACTTTGAGGTGCTATGTGAGAAACATAATAATAAAAGAGGCCATATGAAAAATGACATAAATGAGCAGTCAAAGTGTAATTTTTAATCTTTTGTATGAAATTAAGTGATTGTAATGTCAATAGTCAACGATTCTCCCACAATAAATACAAAACGCATCTTGTCCCTTTGCGTCCCACGCAACACCCACACATTTTGTTTACCCCATCCATCGTCTGAGTCGCAGAGAGAATGACCATAACAATGACGACCATTACCAGTACCAACCCAGCCCAAGACTACAACAGACTTGAAGAAGCGAAGAAGTTAGATAAATCCAAACTGGAGTGAAAGGCCTCGTTGATTCTGGCCTCACCACCATCCCTCGCATTTTCCACCATCCACCCCAAAACTCGCCCAACCCAAAATCCTTAACCCGAAACGCCAAATTATCACTACCCATCATCGACCTCTCTAGCACCCGCTCAATTGTGGTTGACCAGATTCGTCTCGCCTCCTCAACCATTGGGTTCTTCCAAATAACCAACCATGGCATGCCAAAAACTGCCATGGACCATATGCTTTCCTCTATCAAGTCTTTCCATGAATTACCAGATACCACTAGGATGCAATATTATAGGAGGGACACCTCTCATGCTGTAGCCTACTATACTAAGAAATTAGTTTGGAGACTCTTCAAATGATGGGGATTTGTATAAATACCTTATGGAAAATAAATCACGCATTCATCACCGACATTCATTATTAATAATAATTTTTTTACCGATCAACACATGGTATCACCGTTACATTGAATATTTATTCCTGTCTTTGATCAGACCAAAGAAAAAATTAGTCGAGTTACACCTGACCTGCCCTGAACACTCGGGACAATTTTAAAAAAA